ACTGGCAGAGAGTCACCAAACAGTTGCCGAGAAGCCTCTTCCTCCGCATCCAAAGGATCGAAAGCGAGCTCGGTGCCACTCTCACCTCTCCTGTCGGGTGGTGGCGCCGAGCTCGTGGCCATTGAGGCCGCAGGCTCGGAAAAGAGAGGGCGAGCTCGGAGTCCCGTCGGGTGGTGGCGCCGAGCTCTTGGCCGCAGAGGCCGGTGGCTCAGAGATACGGGGCTCTTCAGTGCAAATCTGACCTGACTTGCCGCTCGCCGTAGCGGTGTTGGGCGGTATCTCATCACAGCCAAGAACGGGGGCACAGGCTGCAGAATGGAAACGCTGCATGAGATGACCAGTGTGCACTCGAACTCCGCTCTTACTGTATTGGGGGTGACGGCCCTTGTTGCATAGTTTGTTCCAGCCCGAACGCCTGGATCTCGAGGGGCCTAAACAACGCTCGCCGAGGCCACGAACACTAGCACCAGAGGAGTAACAAAAGCATTTGGTGCATACGAACAGCACCGAAAGGTCGTCACAATCAAAGGCAATGACACTGTGATCGAGCGCATCCAGCCTGGAAGCGTGAAGCTTGCTGAAATTGGTGCAGCGGCTGGGATCAGGGCAAGTGGCCGACCGCTTCCCCTTGAGACAGACTTCACAACGCCAGAGCCCAGCCCAGGGACGCCACCCGTGCCTGGGAACAGGAAGGGCAGGAGGGGCCTTCAACAGCTCAACGTTGGACAGGTCCAGGGGCTCCCAGAGAGGAGCCAGCCTGGCAGCTAGCCTGAGCGTGCAACGGGCGGCGCGAACCATTCTGTCGATGGAGACTAGAGCATCCTCATCTCTCGGATGCAGATTGACAGCATGTTTCGCGCCGACGTCCGCATGGCAATTTCCCACCCGCCTCACCTCTCCCGACTATCGATGCCGACCTCGTCGACATCCTGGTGAGCAGCAACCTTCTCACACGGCAGGAGGGAGGAGGAGGAGGAGGAGGAGGAGGAGGAGGAGGAGGAGGAGGAGGAGGAGGAGGAGGAGGAGGAGGAGGAGGAGGAGGATGAACACTGGAGAAAGGCACCAACGCACACACGTTTGCCAGACAAATGGGATGCGCGAGGCTCATTGGCCAATGTTTCCACGTTGGAGCAATCTGAAAAGGCCTGGGAGTGACCAGGAAGGCTTAACACGTGGGCCAAAGTGTAGGCCGAAAACTCCGATCCCTGCGGAGTCTGAGGGTACGGGGCCCACACAGGCGCACGGAATCCCGCCACGAGAGATCCTACATTATCCGCCATAGCAATACAAGAGCCTGCTCGGCTGAGCTCACGGATGGGATGTCTGTAGCACGACCCAACAATAAACAGCGAGCCCCAAAGAGTGGTGGGAGCACGATCACCTATGGGCGAGACCTGATCACGCTCATGCCACACAACGATAGGACCGTCAGAGTGTTCCGTGGAGGGACCAGGGTAAGAGTCGGCGGGGTAAGCGAAAGCTCCTAAGGTAAAGACAAGGAGATCTGCACCCAACTCTTCAGCCCTGAGAGCCAACGTAATAGCCTCCTCCTTCACCTCTTCCTTCCTAACGGCAGTGACTGAGCTGTGAGAACAAGACCAGGGCCGGTGAAAAAGAGTGTCGGGCTTGCCGCACAAGGGGCAGGCGATGTCAACCTGATATCCCAACTTGAGAGCGCGCTCCCTAGTGGGAAAGGCCTCGGTGGCAAGGGCACGGATCCTACTCTTTCCAAGAGGGGTGAACTTTTTACTGGCAAGAGACTCCTTCACACTGTCGAAACTTGACTCCTTTCTTGGCAGCTGCATCTCCCTCGAGAGAACGGAGATGGGCTTCGCGGCAAAGCTTCTTGATTAACGAGGGAGACATGATGCCAAGGTGAATAGAGAAACCCCTATCATCGTTGATCATCAAAACGTCAGTCATGACCCAACCGAGCCTGGAGACAGACATGTGCAAAGCAGAAATCGGACCAGCAACACAGCGCCATGAACAATTGTCCTTGCCAAGAACAGACGTCCATGCACGGCGAAGCGCTGGCAGGCTGATTGACCACTCAAACTGGGACGTCTGGGCAAGCCATACTTCTTTCGCCCAACGAATGATGGGCGAACAAGCCACGCGCCAGCAAGGGTCTCCGTCCAGAATAGCCGAGGTGGTGAGCGAGCGTAGCTGAGAGTGAGGACGAACGGTGCTAAAGAGACGACGACGGATCAGGAGTAACTCATTATCCGAAATACTAATGACCTCACTCCCGTAACTCACACCAGCAAGAGGGCCAGCTGCAACAACCCGAATGATGGCACTTCTCTTGAACACCTTATTCTGTCTGCGAAGCCGAGTGGCCTTCCTGCTGGCAGCCGCGATCCTGGCCCTGAGCTTGGCCGCACGTCCTCGGACTCCTGAGGGCACGACCAGCCTTGTAGTCGACACCTAAGTTCAAAGCCGTAGGAGAACTAACAGAACACAGATCAGAAAGAAGGGCCGAAACTTGATTTCCAACATGCTTCGAGGAGGAGGAGGAGGAGCAGGAGCAGGAGCAGGAGGAGGAGCAGGAGGAGGAGCAGGAGGAGGAGGAGGAGGAGGAGGAATAGAGGAGGAAACGAGGAGGAGGAAGAGGAGAAGTAGGAGGAGAGTTGGGGCTATGGTGCGGGCGGCGCGGTGCCAGCGCGCGAGCGGGACGGGCAGGGGGGCCCTCGAGGACAGAGTGCGCGGGCCGCCGCCCCCCCCCCGGCCCAGAGGACCCCCTCCGCCTCGGCAGAGTCTCTTCCGCCCTCCACGCCGTGAGGCCCCTTGGTCGGAAAGGTGCGCGGCGCATGGCAAGGAGAGACGGGCCCCATCTGCAGTGGGGAGCGGTGGCGGCGGAACGGCGGCAGGACGGGGACTACGAGCCTGAGGATGTGCAGCTGAAGGCTCCGCCGCTCCCTCTCCTTGACTGCTGGAGGCTCGTGCCCCGAGCAGTGGCGTTTTGAGTGGTTTGACCGTCTGCGTCGTGTTTTTGTTTCCAGTTCTTGCCCGCTCGCATGCCTGCTTATCGGCGGCGTGCCGAGGGGACGCGAGAGGGGGAAGGCCTCCTCAGACGGCGGCGGCGATTCACAGGAGCCCTCTGGTCTTCTTAGAAGCCCCCCCAGTGGCTTCGGCGAAGCGGAACGGTGGCGTACGCTAGCGTCGACGCGACGGAGGGGGCGTAATCATTATTCTGCACGGCGGGGAAGTACGTAATAATAGATGGCTCGACACGCCAGCCGCACCAAAAAACGTTTGCATCGTTTTTTTTGTGGTTAGGTTGATCAAGCTTTTGTTTGCTCTCTCTCTCTCTCGCTCTCTACGTGGTGTCCCGCTTATGATTAGGAAGCCTCCCCCGAGAAGCTGGCCCAGCGTTTCTCAACCGACTTGTCGGAAAGCTGGCTCAGTTTCTTGAGGGGATTGGTAGCCTCCAGTTCCGGTTCGCGCCGGTTCGGTTGAAAAAAAAACCGAATCACGTTCGGATGGGGGAGCCGGTATAACCAGGTCGGCCGTTCGCAACGGCATTTGGCACACAAAATTGTATATTTAGGTTTCTTCCCGCCGTGCAGGGCCGGCATTTGGCACACACAAGATTGTATATTTAGGTTTCTTCCTGGCGTGCAGGGCTGGATTTTGACACCCAAAATCGTGCATTCAGGTTTCGCTTCCCTCCGTGCAGGGCCAGCATTTGGCACACAAGAAATCGTGTATTTAGGTTTCGCTTCCCTCCGTGCAGGGCCGTTGACCGCGAATGCCGTTCGTAACAGCATTTGGCACACAATCTCGTGTATTTAGGTTTCGCCTCCCTCCGTGCAGGGCCGGCATTTGGCATGCAAAATCGTGTATTCAGGTTTCGCTTCCCTCCGTGCAGGGCCGTTGACCGCGAATGCCGTTCGTAACAGCATTTGGCACACAATCTCGTGTATTTAGGTTTCGCCTCCCTCCGTACAGGGCCGGCATCTGGCACGCAACATCATGTCAATATCACAGTTTTCATTAATAAGTACTGAAGTATCGTGTCAATCGGAATTTTGGTTGTTATTATTGCCAATGTTTGTGTCAATCGTAATTATTTGTCGTGTCAATTTCGCCAATCGTAATCATTATCTAATTAATAAGTAATTAATCCTCCTCCAGCCCGAACCTTGAGGCCGAGCCCGGAGCTCTGAGTCCTGAGCTCGAGCCAGGGCCCATGCCCGGAGCTCAGGCCTGAGCCCCTCCCGAATCCGTAGCCCGAGCCCTGAGCCCGAACCCTGAGCCCGAACCCGAGCCCTGATCCCTGAGTCCTCCCGAACCTTGAGCCTGAGCCTTGAGCCCGAGCCCTGAGCACGAGCCCTTAGCCCGAACTCTGAGCTCTGAGCCCGAACCCAGAGCCCGAGCCCGAGCCTGAGCCCAAACCCGAGCCTGGGGCCCGAGCCCGAGCCCGAGCCCGAGCCCGATTATTTTATGATTTTAATAAGTTGTCTGAATTTTGTCATTGATTCATATCTCTGTCAGTTCGCAAACCATGCGTATCATTGAATCCTAATTTCTGAACCAGGCGTATCTACCGCATTTGATGCATTATATCAAAATTCTGGGAAGGTTGAGCAACATGAGTTTGAATCTTCCGATTAGTTTGGCGATTACATGACAGAAGCCCTACGGGAATTATTAATGTAACGGAGAAACGAATTGGGAAGTGTATGGAATGATGCAATCAGAGTTTCGGCTATAATTTCAACAGTTATTGTTACTGCCGTAATGAGCGGAACTGGAAATGAATGGTGTATGTTCTTGGTTCCAAAAGTTGGTTCAGAGTTAATTTACGGCAGTTTTGAAAAAAGCTGGCCCAGATTTCTTAACTCATAGTTGTTTAATCATATTTTTGATTGCGTGTATATATGAATATATGTGTGCATATTCATATGTAAAGTCTGCTCTTTCAATATCACTCTCCCTCTTTCTCTTTCCGCCTGGGACACGGCATTCTCAGAACAATTTGAAGCTTGATGCCCTTCCGCTTGCATGCTGCGCCCAAGGATATCGCTGTTGCGGCCGATGTGGTGTCGGCTGATGTCGTTTTGCCACACATCCCAGATCCTATTGCGGCAGCGACTCCCAGTGAAGCCACGAAGCCATTGCTCTCGCAATATCAAATGCAGTCATCATGATAACATGTCCTTAGTATTGAATATGACATGTCTTCGCATGCCCTGTTACGGCAGGTTCGCGTCGTGCCGACCGGCGGCGGCCCCACCGCGTGCGTTTAAGGTTGAACGCCGCCCGTGGCCCAGAATTGGCCCGTCGTTGAACGATTCGGCGTTCACGGAGCGTCCGATCGTTCAAGTTTGAACAATCCCCGCGGTGTCAGGAACCAACGCCGGGGTCGACACGACACGAACTTGCCGTGCATATGTATGTTTCCTTTCTTCCATGTCTCTTCACTTTGCTGTCTGTGTATCACTGGTTATTCTGTGAGTATTGGAACGGTTCCCGATTCTGTCTCATCTCTTCCTCCTGGCTGCTTGTCTGTCGCGCACAGGCTCGTCTACGGCTGCGGGAAAGGAAGCAGCAAGAGCTTGCACAACAACAAAGGGATCCCCTGCACTTCTGGTATCACATGTTGTACATTACCAACAGCAGTTTCATGGTACATGCTTGTTCGTTTTTTTCTCATCTGCTTTGCATGCGCTTCAATCCGTCCTCGTGGCCTCTCTCCTTCAAACCTTTGCGCATCGGAGTTCAGCAGGTGATGCGAATACTAGTGGGCTTGCGTGCGGTGGTGTCGGTGTGCAGAGCACGCGCCGTAGCAGTTGACGTACCGATCCAGCAGCATTGGCGTGGTGCACCGTCTTTTCACGTTTTGCAGGTGTAGTGCTGCAGTTGACGCGGGCGTGCTCGTTCATTGTGCGATTTACTTGGCAATTTGAGCGAATGATTCGTTTCCCTCGCGTCTCCTTTTTTTCGTGCTGGGGCGAACGTGAAGAGACATTGGCCGATTGTTTACTCAAATGTGCGAGCGTGTGCTTTGTTCAAGGTGCGTACGCCGTCATACTCGTTCCGAGATGCGATATGATTCGTGGCCGTGTTTTCGATTTGAGTGTTCCGAGCTCCTTCTGTGTGTTCACCGTCTTGTAGCGGTATTAAAAGTTTCTTGCTAAACTGGCGGTTTGTCATGTCGTGTGTGCGTGTGTGTCGAGTCGTTGCGACTGCGGGTAGTTCACCAGGTTTGCTATTTCATGGCTTACCATAGTGCAACGTGGTGTGAGAGCGGACCCGGGCGTGATCATGTTCTTGCGTCTGCAGCGATCTGCGATAGGGTATATCAAGTGTTCCCGCTAGGGGTAAACTTTCTAGGGCTCCCCACTGTGGCCTGTCATTTTTTTTGTTTTTTTGTTTTTGTTTGTTTTTTGTTTTTATAATATATATATATATAAACAAAAATTCGTTATTTTATATTAGTTTTAGTTTTGTTTCCTCTCTCTCTCTCTCCTTCTCTTTTGTTCTCTCTATCGGCCTCTGCAGCCTTCTGGCCTCGAGCAGGTTGCGCCTTTTTTGCGAAGGGGCTCTGCCCCTGAACCAGGCCGTGACGATCGATGCTCCTCATGGGCGGCCTCGTGCCGGTGGTGGCGGGTCTCCTTTCCTTGGGGGGAGGTGGGCACCCGCCTGTTCGATGCTCGTTTCGGGGACCTTCCTGGAGCCCACCTAACGTATCTGTTCGACCCCAGTTCGACTCAAGTTCGACTCAGGTTCGACTCAGGTTCGACTCGGGTTCGACTCAGGTTCGACTCAGGGTCGACCCAAATCGACTGACGGTCGACGCAGCTTCGACGCACGAGTGGAGCGAGTGGCTCCAGGAAGGTCCCCAGAACGAGCATCCAACGCCTGGACGCGTCCCGGATTCGGCCCCCGAGGCTGCGTCGGAGACCGTGCGCCTCGTCGAGGCAGGGGGCCAAGACCCGGTGCCCCCCTTGGCCATGACTGGGCCTCCGTTTTCAGTGTGGGGTCTCCCCCTGGACCTTTCCACCTGCGGCGTGGAGGAGGGCGTTGGGGGCGCCGCCGCGCCCCCCAGGAGTCCCTGCGGGAGCGGAGCGGCTGGCACTGGGGAGGCCCCCGCAGGCGGCGCCCGACGAGGGGGCGGGAAGGGGAGGGATGCCCAGACCCAGACTGGGAAAGTGCGCATGGGTACCAGGGACCCCCGCTCGTTCTCCGGATGGGGGCCCGCCCCGGAGACCCCGCGCCCCTGGGGCCAAGGCGCCCCCCGGGCCCCCAGGACCGCGGCGGGGAAGCGCCGCGCGAAGGAGGGACGGGGCCCACTGCCGATGGGGCGTCCGGCGCCGCCCCCCCCCCCCCCTTCCTTGGAAGAAACGCGTGCCGACCCCGGGAGGGCCACCACCGATGGGCGTGGAGGATAGGCTGCCGTGGACGTGGGCGTGGACGGGCAAGTTGGGGGACCTTTGCGCCTGGGCCCATCGGGTTTGCCCGGGCGGTGACATCTTCGAGCAAGTCCTAGCGCAGGGGGGAGAGCAAGGGGGCTATTCCTGGTTCCCGCAGGAAGGCGGCGGGAGGTCACCCTCGACATCCGGCAGGCCGACGTTAACGTCAGGCGTGCGGCGCCTGGCTATTCTGGCTGGTCCTCGGGTACTCCGACGACGTCTTGGGCGTTGGTTTGGCGGTGTGCACCACCGGCCAGGGCTTGCGACCCTTCAGCTGGGCCTGAAGGCGGGCGGCCCGCTCCCCCATGTCCGCCATTGGTTCTCGAAGGTGGAGGAGGATCGCATGTTCCTATACTGGAGTTCGACGGGGGGGCCGACGCCAAACTTGCGGATGACGCTCATTACAGGGGGTTGCGCCGAGCCGCAGCGCTGGGGGGCGACGCCAACTCCACGATCACTTGCCTCGCTTTGTCGAACCGCCCTGCGTGCGGATTCGCTTGCAGATCCTTCGGGCGCCGAGCGGGGCCACCCGCTGAGGAGTGGGCGCTGGGCGCTGAACGCTTTCGACCCGCAAGGGGAGCTCCATGGCAGCCGGCCCCCCCAGACCTAACGCTAGGGGCCGCGCCCAGCTGCCCTTGCCAACCCCGACAGTGGGCCGTGGCGGTCAGGCAGCAGGCGCGCGCCTTCGAGCCGGCCCGCGGCCCGGGGCGCGGGCCCTGGGCGCCCCCTTCAAGGGGCGCCACCGGGGCCCGGGGGGGGCCTTCGGAGACTTGGAAGCAGCGTGGGACGAGCTTATTATCTGGCGCTGGTGGGCCGAGCTATGGGCCGAGCGTCGGGGCCTCGTGCAGGGCCGCCAGGCGACGGGTGCAAGTCCCCCCGACCTGGTCGCCCGCGCCGCTGTCCAGGATGGCCAAGTGGGGGCCGAAGCCTGTTTCATTGGGATTTTTTATTTGGAAATCCATAGGGGGGCGCGCCCTGGGGGGGATCTTTCCGCGACGTCGGCGCGAGGCGGCAGCGCGGGCCCGCCGGGCCCGAGGCAGCGGGCCATTTGCTTTGCCCCTGGGGAGGCCTGTCCTGGCATCCAGCTTGGCGGTAGCGCCGCGCTCGCGGGGGCGGGGCGCTCGGAGGACGAGGTCTCCGAGGAAAGCGCGGTCGCGCAAGAGCGGGGTGATGGGGGCGCCCGGGGGGGGGGGCCTCCACGGAGCGGAGCAACGCAGAGGCCTCAGAGTACGACTGGGGGCGGGCTCCAACGGCCGCCCGCCGCCAGTGGGCTCAGTCGCGGGAGGAGGCCTTCGCGGCGCCGGAAGGAGCTCTGGCCCTCGAGCCCCGGTCGCGCAGAGGGCGCTTCCCTGCGAGGGCTTGTCCAGGGGCAGCGGGGCTTGGTGGGGGGGGGGGCGGATTGTCGTCGTGAGTCGGAGCTCGGCGAGCTGGGCGAGGGCGCCCAGGCCACCCCAGGCCCGCCGCGCCCGGACCGTTGGCCCGGTCGAGAGGAGCGCCCCCCCCTCCTTCGAGGTTCAACTCGGAGGGGGGCCCGGCCTGCGAACCCTGCCCGGAGAAGGGGCGCGCGGGGCTGCGCGATAACCGCGCCGACCCCCAATTCCCTCCCCCGCGTGGAGGGCCCTGGGGCGGCGTGCCCGCCACTGCCCCCCGCCCCAGAGGCTCCTGCACCCTGGGCGCCCGCGCCCCTTCGCCGCGCCTGGGCCCCTGGGTGGACCGCCCTGCGATGCGAATGGTCGCCTGTTCAGCTGGGATTTATCTGGTATCTAACCGCGACGGTTGTGCTCGAGTGGAAGGGGCCTGTCCCCCGCTCGCCGGCCCCTCGACCGCAGAAGGGGGCCCCCCTGACAACTCATGGCGGAGCTGGCGAAGCAAGGCGGCCGGGTCGCTCAGGAGGCCCCCTGGGGGAAACTGTTCCTCGGCGGCGCTGCTGGGCCCAACCCCCAAGCGAAGGTCGCGCGTCCGGGGCCGGGGCCCGCGCGGGAGGGGCGCGACGGGCGGTTCGGCTGCCTCGTCGAGGGGGGGGGGGGCTGACGAGCGGGCGCCTCCAGGGCCGGGACTGGGCGCGTCTGAGCGCGCGCCGCGCCGGCGGGCGGGCGCGCCCCGCGGGGCCAGCTGAGCGCCCCCCGGGAGCGGAGGGTGTCGCGAGGGGATGGGCGTGGACCAGGGCCTTGGCATTATGCGCATCAGGGAGGGGGGGGCAATCGGCGCGCCTGCTGTCCCTCGGCAAGAACCGGATGCTGCGGGCTGCGGGCGCGCTTCGACCGCAGGGAGGCGCCTCCGATTGCCGAGGCGCTGCCCGGGGTGCGGGGGTCTGGCCAGGGAAGTTTTTGCGGGGGAGCCGCCGGCCAGGTATCCCGACCGCCACTACAAGGAAGGGCATTGCGGAGACGTTCCTACGGGTCTGGTTAAAGACGGAGGACGCCGACACGTTTGCCGCGGAGCTACCAGGAGGGCAAGTGGCGCTGGAAGAAGATGCGGCTGCTATATCTGGCCTTGACATTCGGTTGGATCGGCGGCCCAGGAGATCGCGTGGCCCTTTGGGCCCGCCCTGGAGCAGTGGTCCGATCTGCGCCAGCCGGGAGACCTCAGCTGGCACGACGGCGTTTTTTGCCACATTTTCATGCGCGAGGATGTCCTCGCCCAGTCCCATTTCGGAAGGGTGCCCTGGATGGCCGGGGGGGTCGCGGAGGAGGGTGCGCGCTGCGCGTTCGGGCCCGGCGCTGTGCGCGCGGGCGACAGGCGGCGAGTTTCCCGCGAACCGGATCTTGTGGGGAATCATCGCGAAGCAGAACACCTCCCGGCTTCCAGAGGAGAAAGCGAGGAAGATGCGGATCTTCCTGAGCGAGCTCGCCTACCATGTGGGAAACGCCCGGGTGGCCCTCAGAAATTCCCAAGTGTTCTGGGGGCCGTCAATTTCGCGGCGATCGCCTGCCCCGCCCCTCCTCCCCGAGGTAGGGGCGGTAGACGAGCCGCTCAAGACGGCAGACCCTGCCAGGGGAATCGTTGAGATCGAAGTGGAGGTGGGGGAGGCTGACAGAATCTGGGGGAAGTGGCGGGGGGCCATTGAGACCTTGCGCCCGCGCGCAGAAGTTCCCCAGGCTTAGGCGGCCCACCTCGCCGCGGGGTTAAGGCCGTTCCTCGCCCCCAGAGACGGGCGGGAGGGATCGGGGAGTTAGCGTGGGCCAGAGGGGGCGCCGCCGAAGAGCGCGTCGGGGCCGCGGACTGGACCTGGACCTCCAGTGTCTACGGCGCAATTGACGTGACATTTTTTTTGTTTGTTATATTTTCCCCCCCCCTCTTCTTCTTCTCCCTCTGGGGGGGGGGGCGTCTTTGGGGGTGGGCGGGGCGTCGTCGCGATCTGCGAGCTCTTCGCCTTCTCGGTCCTAGCGGTGGCCCAGGGGCGCCGCTAGTCAGGGAAGCTGGTCCTTTTATATGTCGCGGACAACGCCGGCGCGGGGTTGGCTCGGCATGGGATGTGGCTCCTGCAGCGATGGGAGACCTGGCGCGGAATCCAGGTCACCTCTGTGGGGGTCTGGACCAAACGCGTGCAGGGCGTGAATTTTCTCTCGTCGGAAACCAAGCTGAGATGAAACGCCGGGGCTTGGGGGAGATCGACCTCGAGGTGCCCTGGGTGGAGATCCTGGGGGGTGTGAGGAAGGGGGGCCCTTCTTGTCCTCTCCGTTGATTCTGACGACCAGCAGAAAGCGGCGTGCTGGCTCCTGTCGCGTCGGCGGGCCCCATCGCTCCTGTTCCCTCTGCGCGGCCAGGGCGCGGGCGTCGGGGCCCCGGGCCGCGGCGGCCGGGTGGCGGGGGGAATAGGCGCGAGGGGCGCGTCGATTTGGCCGGCGCGGACGGACTTCGGCCGTCAGCCGCCCTGGTTGGGGGGCCCATCTCTCCCACCTCCAGGGTCGCTGCGCCGCGCGGGGCACTGCTGCTGCGAAGGAGGAGCGGGTCGTGGTTTCGCTCGAGGGTGGCCCCGGGAGGCTGGGGCAGACGAATTTTGCTCGCTTCGCGGGCCAACGCGCAGCCTCGCTGGCGATCGCGAGCGGGCCCCCGAGGTCGAGGCGGGCGGGGGTGGCCCAGGCGAGTCTTGGACGCCGAACGGTTTTAAGGGGGTGGTCCACGCCGGCGGGCGCGGGGCATGGGGGCAGGTGTCCTTGCGCCTGTCGGCTGCCTCTTGCCTGGAAGGGTCAGAACGACGAATCGGGGGCCCGTTTCCTGGAATGGTTGGGCCAGGCGCGACGCCCCCCCCCCCCCCCCTTAAGAAGCCGCCCGCCAAGAGAAACCTTCGCGGAGGACTTGTTCCCGAGCCGGGGGGGGGTCGTTCGGGCGGGCTTCGGGCTCCGGGGACGGGGGCCCTGGGATGTCGGCGGGGCGCCGTCGTTGCCCCATCCTGCGCCTGAGCAGTTCGGGCCCGGACCGCTCCTGCCCGCGGTCCGCCCCGATTGCGGGGCATGGGGGGCATGCTGATTGACGGCGGCCGATGAGCCGGAAAGACTGTCCGCAGGCTTGCCCCGAGATGAAGCTCGGCATGTCGCGGGCTGCCCCCCTCGTGGCTGGCGGCGGGGGCGGGGGCTCGGGGTGTCCCCGGAGGTTCTTCTCGCGGGGGCCGCTCGGCCCCTCTCCCCGGGCGCGGCCCGCCAGGTTGCGCGGGCCGCCGCCGTCGCGAAGGGCGATGGGGGGCCAGCCGCGGGAGGCGCGCGCGGGGGCGCGCCGGGGCCTCGATGGGGAGTTGATGAGAACGAGGCCATCGCACGCCGGCTGCGGGCCTGGAAAGGAGATGGCCGGCGCGGCCCCGGAGATGCGCGCGGGGCTTGGCTTTGGGAGGTCGAGGGGCGCCGCGGCGGGGCCTCGGGGCAGGCGCCGGCGCAGACTTGGTTCGCGCCGCGGCGCCGCGGGGCGCCTCAGGCGCAGCGGCGCGCGGGTGGGGGGGGCCTGAGGCGCCTGGGCCCGCCCGCGCCCCCGCGCGGCAGGGGGCGCGGCGCGGGGCGGGCGAGAGGCCGCCCCGTCCGGGTGGAGAGCGCCCAGCCCCAGATCGTAGAATGCCGCCTCTCAGAGTGCCAAGAGGAGCTTCGGGACGGGTGCGTCTTCGGCAGCTTGGCCCAGGGGGCGAGGGCGGCGCGCGCGACAGGGTGGGGGCGGCGGCCAGTGTTTGCGCGGGCGCGAGGCCAGAGGCCCGAAGGAGGACGAGGGCGGCCTGCCTGCTCACCTGGGCGGTCCAACTAGCGCGCTTCCAGCGGCGCTCGGAAAGGTGTGGCAAGGAGGAAGCCAGTGGCCGTTCGCCACAGCCGCGAGGCAGCGGGATGCCCGGGCCCGCTGGAATTGGCGCCCGTCGCTGGCGGGCCGCGGGGGCGTCGGCTGGGCTGGCTTCGAGCTGGGCGCGGGCGGGGGCGCGGCGCGGCGGCGTCCTTTTTCGTGCTCCGCGCTTCGGAGCACCTGGCGGGCCCCCGCGAGCCCCTGGCCGCCGGCGGGCTCCTCCTCGGGAGGGGCGTCGCCCCTCGGGCGCAGGGGGCAGTCTGCTCAACGTTTGGAGGAGCGGCTGCGCCGGTCATCTGCGACGAGAGAAGTACAGCAAACCAATGCAATGTCTGGTGCTGCCAGAACCGCTGCGCCACGGGGAGCGCATTCTGCCCGGCCAGAGCCCTTGCCGCGCAGGAGGCAGTTACTTGAAGGACCTCCAGGATCGGGCGGCGACGGCGGCTGGCGCCCACCCCTCGCGCGCGTGGGGCCGCTCCCTCAAGACGGAGGGGGGGGGCCGGCGCTTTCCGCGTCTCCCTCTGAAAGGCGCGCGGGCCTCAGAAGGGGCCTGGCCGAGGCGATGTTGGCCCATGACTTTCAGCTCGCCATCGGGGGCGCCAGTCGGATGGGACCTGGGGTGCAAGGGGCGGAGGGCAAGAACAGGATGGCCCACTTGTCCCTGGGGCCCATGTAAGTGGCCCTGCGAAGCCCGACCGGATAGACCGGCTGACGCAAAGCGAAAGGAGCTCCCCCACAATGCGGGCAGGGGGCCTGTGAGGGGAATGGCTGGTATATTTTTCCAATGCCAGTGCGCCGATTGGAATGCCCAGCCCGCGGCGGGCTGCTGAACGGGAGGGCGCCTCCTGGCGGTTGGCCAGTGGGGCCCCCGTCTGTGCGCAAGTGTGCCCGCGGTGCCCGGCCCGCAGATTGGGTGGCGCCCTTCTTGGCGATCGGCTTGGGCCCTCCCGTGGTATGTGCGCCTGCAGGCCGCGGGCTATTTGAAGCGGCGCGGGCCACCCACTCATTTGGCAGTCGGTCGTCGGTTCCTCGAGCGCGTTTTTAGTCGTAGGCCTGGGGCGCGACTTGGGCTCTTGGCGCCTATTTTGCGCGGGCGGCGGGCCGCGGATTGGCGCCGCGCTTTGCAAAAGGTTCCTCTCTCGTTTCCCCCTGTGAACTGGGGGGGCCCTCGTGGGGGATATTTTCTTGTCAGGGTTTGTTTATGAACTTTAGGATTCCCCGTTGTGGTGTGCCAGTTTTTTGTTATGTATACATACCTACCTACCGACCTACCTACCTACCTACATGCATACATACACATGTTCATGTGCATTTACATGTGCACATACACACATATGCATATTCTTCTGCTTATGCACAGTCTGCTGTCGCCATGAATATATATATATGTATGATTGCTTTTGTTGTTGTTGTCTCTTTCTCTCTCTCCCTCCTTCCCTCCCTCCCTCCCTCTCTCTCTATTCTTTTGGTTGGTTAGTCTTCTCTCGCTCTCTCTCTCTCTCTCTGTCTCTTTCTCGTTCTCTCTGCCTCCGCAGCTTTCTGGCTTCGAGCCGGCTGCGCCCCTTGTCTTATCCGCCCACCCTGAAATTCCGCTGCTGCGTGAGCGGCGGCGGGCCGCGGAGCGGCTGAACGCCGTTTGGCGCCATACTTTGCAAAAGGTGCCCATGTCGTCTCCCCTTGTGAACCATGGGGCCTCTCGTGGGGAATCCTCGAGTGTGATCGATTGCCGTCAGGGTGATTGCTCGCCGTTCGTTTGTTCTGATGTTCGCAGCTTTTCTCATCGCAGTACTCGCGCAGCGCTTTCGTAAAGTTGGCTAGCGCGTTGGCAGTCGTCTTTGCGTATGTGAGCAATTTTAGTCTGCAGACTTCCTCGTTGAGAAGCGGGGAGCTTGGATAACTAAGGTTGTTCTTAGGGGCGATGGTGTCGTTGGGGCATGACCGCTTGGCTTGTCATGCAGCGTGGGGGTCTCGACTCGCTTCGAACTGTGGCTGCCATGCGAGGCCTTTGTCGATCGCGAAGCTGAGCAGGCTGGCGGGTCGCTGAATTAATTTTCGCTTTGGGTTCGGAAGGGGCTCGATATTCTTCGGGTCATTCTGCGGTTGTTCCTCGAGCCCTCCCCGTGCACCCAGGATCTTGTGGTGCCGCACAGGGGTCTCGTTCCTTGTTTGGCTTTCCTCAGTTCAGCAGCCCGGCTGTAGCGCCGCGCCATCCCAACCCGGAGTCAGCCACCTGCGATGCCTCGTCTGCGCTCTGCCCGTGGTTCGCCGATGCGCTTCCTTCGGCCAGGAGCAGCAGGAGGCGGAGCAGAAACGGCGGGACATCGCCGAGCAGCACGAGGCCGAATGGCCCGCGTGTGCTTCTTTCGGATGCTCTCTCCTCGAGGGTTCGAGGAGCGAGGATCGAGGAGGAGGAGGAGGAGGATGAGGAGGTTGATGATGATGACGATGAGGAGGAGGAGGAGGAGGAGGAGGAGGAGGAGGGAGGAGGAGGAGGAGGAGAAGGAGAAGGAGCAGGACGAGGAGGAGGAGGAAGAGGAGGAGGAGTTGGAGGAGGTGGAGGAGGAGGAGAAGGAAGAGGACGAGGACGAAGAGAAGGAGGAGGAGGAGGAGGAGGAGGACCAGTGTAAAGCCAAGAGTCATCAACGATGTTGGAATTCACCCTTCCTCCAAGCTCCCTCTTCATAGGCCTCCATACCGGTTCATTTCCATTGAGGGAGCTGCCTCGTTGGAAGGCAACCGTTTGAAGATCCCCAGAAATTGTTCTCGGGATTTCAACGCCACGTATCAACCTGACTGCTGCATCTTGACGATCCGGAATCGTACCAGAGCGCCTTTCTTGGGACTTCAACACCGCGAGTCAATCTGACTGAAAAAGCGCGCTCGCAGCGTCGGGAATACACAAAGGGGGACCCCAGCTTCAAGCTACCTCCCCCCCCTCTCTTCCAAAAGGGAGGGGGAGCTTCCGAAGCTACCCCCCCTTCCCTTTTGTAGGTTTTTTATGCTAGGAGGGCCCTGGCTAAGGGGGGGGCTTCGAAACCATTCCCCCCCTCCCTCCCTTTTCCGGAGCAGAGGGTGAGCCCGGGCTTCCCTTTCAAAGGGGGGGGGGGGCTTCGGAAGCTACCCCCTCCCCTCCTTCTATTTTCGGTCTGGCCACGGGGGGGGCCGCTTCAAGCTCCCCCTCTCCCTCCTCCTTTGCAAAGGGGGGGCGGCTTCAAGCTCCCCCCCCTACCTCGCTAGTGCAACACCACGCTCGCATTCTTCACCGCGAGCGCGCACGCAGGAGCAAGCAACGAGCCGAGCGGAAACTTAGCAAGCTCAAGAGTGCCAAACCTTCGTTCACGACCACGCCGAAGATGCTCAAGGTTGACGGGAGACCGACGGCCGATAGAGCGAAGTGGTTGGAATGCGGGTACACTTTCGGCCGTCACAGGTTCACCGACCCAGAGAATTCACGCGACCATCAACTTTCCAGGTTCGCTGCGAGAGTAGCTGCCCACAGGAATGCAATCCAAGACGGTTCGTCGAAGTCCACGGTGGAGCTGTTAGACGTGATGCAGGCCAGGGCCTCTCTCCGTGCAGGCTCCGCACCTGGTCCGGATGGGGTCCCTCCAGGTTGGCCGCTGGGTCGTGGTGTCAGTTTTCCTCGGGCCCTGGTCTTTGTTTTTGGTTTTATTTTTTGGGTTGTTGTGGTTGTGGTTATTTTATGGTTGGCTTTATTGTGTGTTGTTTTGTTGTTTTGTGGTTTGGTTTGGTTATTCGCTATTGTTTGTTGGTTTGTTATCTTTGTGTTGTGGTATGTGTCTTGTGTTGTTGTTGTTGTGTTGGTTGTGGTTAGTGTTGGTTGTCGTGTTTTTTCGGTTAGTTTTGGTTTGGTTGTTGTTAGTTTTTTAGTTTTTTCGTGTTCTCGGCCCCTGGGTCGTGGTTTCGTTTTCTCGGACCCTGGTTCGTTTTCTGTTTTCTCGGCCCCTGGATCGTGGTCCTGTTTTCTCGGACCCTGGTTCGGTTTCTCGTGTTCTCCGTTTCTCGGCCCCTGGATCGTGGTCTCGTTTTCTCTGACCCTGGTTCGTTTTCTCGTTTTCTCGCTTTCTCGGCCCCTGGGTCGTGGTCTCGGTTTCTCGGGCCCCGGTTCGTTTTCTCGTTTTCTCCTTTTCTCGGCCCCTGGGTTTTTGTCTCTTTTTCTCGGTCCCTGGTTCGTTGTCTTGTTTTCTCGTTTTCTCGGCCCCTGGGTCGTGGTCTCGTTTTCTATGACACTGATTCGTTGTCTTGTTTTCTTTTTTATCGTCCCCTGGGTCGTGGTCTTGCTTTCTCGGACTCTGGTTCGTTTTCTCGTTTTCTTGTTTTCTCGGCCCCTGGGTCGTGGTCCTGTTTTTTCGGACCCTGGTTTGTTTTATCGTTTTCGCGTTTTCTCTGCCCCTTGGTCGTGGTCTCGTTTTCTCGGGCCCCGTTTCGTTTTCTCGTTTTCTCGGCTCCTGGGTCGTGGTCTCGTTTTCTCGTGCCCTGGTTCGTTTTCTCGTTTTCTCTGCCCTTGGGTCATGGTTTGGTTTTCTCGGGCCATGGTTCGTTTTCTCGTTTTCTCGTTTTCTCAGCCCCTGGGTCGCGGTCTCGTTTTCGCTGACCCTGGTTCGTTTTCTCGTTTTCTCGGCCCCTGGGTCGTGGTCTCGTTTTCTCTGACCCTGGTTCGTGTTCGCGTTTTCTCGTTATCTCGGCGCCTAGGTCGTGGACCCTGGTTAGTTTTACCGTTTTCTTGTTTTCTCGGCCCTTGGTTCGTGGTTTCGTTTTCTCGGGCGCTGGTTTGTTTTCTCGTTTCCTCGTTTTCTCGGCCCCTGGTTAGTAGTCTCGTTTTTTCGGGCCCTGATTCCTTTTATCGTTTTCTAGTTTTCTCGGCCCCTGGGTCGGGGTCTCGTTTTTTAGGACCGATCTTCGCGTTTTCTCGGCCTGGGTCGCGGTCTCGTTTTCTCGGACTTCTCTCTCGCGTGCCGAGCGTTGCCCTGCAATTGCACGGCTGCGCTGGCCGCCGCCAGGCTCGGCTGAGGCGCCTGGAGGAGGAGAAGCGGCAGCGGGCGCTGAAGCAGCGCCGCGAGGAAGAGCGGCGGCGATCGGAGGAGGAGCGGGACCCCTGCGGGGGGCGTCGTCGTCGTCGTCGTCGTCGTCGTCGTCGTCGTCGTCGTCGTCGTCGTCGTCGTCGTCGTCCTCGTCGTCGTCGTCGTCGTCGTCGTCGTGGTAGTGGTAGTGGTTGTGGTCGTCGTCGTCGTCGTCGTCGTCGTCGTGGACGTGGTCGTGGTCGAGGTCGTCGTCGTCGTCGTCGTCGTCGTCGTCGTCGTCGTGGTCGTCGTCGTCGTCGTCGTCGTCAGCGTCGTCAGCGTCATCAGCGTCGTCAGCTTTGATGAAGACCTTCGGCACCTCGACGCCTGCCTCGCTGCCTCAAGACGTGCCAGCGCTGTTCGCGCGCAGGGGGTAGCGGTTCGATCCCAGCCAAGCCCGACGGCGGCTGCACGTCAGCCTTCTGCGAGCGTGAGGTGCAGGTGTGGGCGAGGGCCTCGGTCGAACACAGAGGGCACGCCGAATGGGGAACGGGCCTGCCAGTGGGTGCCCCGCGGAGTCTTCTTACAGTCGGGGCGCTGGAGAAGGAACCCTTTTCGTTGGGGAGGGGCTCGGTGTTCCTTGATTGTTTTACAGTTTGCCTTGGGTTTTCCTTAGATTTTCCATGGGGAATCGAAGTTTAACTTATGGGAACAGGGGGCCTCGTTCCTTATTTATGGTTCCTTAGGTCAAGGCCCCGACTGTATTGCCCGACGGCCCCGGACGCCCATTGGAGTTTATGGGCCTCCTGCGGAGCCCAACGTCGACTGAACAATGTGCCCCTAGATTCCTACAGCAAGGTTTCTGAGTGTATGTGTCTGCTGTACCACATCCTTTTGTATGCGCTGGTGCGCGGATGAGTGCGTGTGTCGGACCGCAGGCCTGGCGACGCACCGGGTGTCCCGGCAGGTCTCCATGTGCAAGGGGTCCCCGCCAAGTCTTGTGACTTAGCGTGTCGCTCCGCCGGTTCTGGTCCACCGCGCGTCGGCGTGACACGCTAACCACGTTCCAATTCCAAATCTTCGAGGTTTGAGGTTCGAGGTTGGAGTTTTTTGGGCCTTTACATGGGTTGTCAACGACGATTTTCCAGCCTCTGGATGCCTTCCAGGAGCTGCGCCTGACCGAGAGCGTTCCGAAGGTGTCTGGATTGTCCCGAACGGCCGCCAGATGGCCGAGTTATGCAGTGTCCATTTCGATCCGATCGATCCGATTCGATGTCGGTTTCGGCTATTTCGGTTCGATTCGATTCCGATGTTCTGTCGATCTGGTGCGGCCCGACGTTTTCATTGCGCTGTTGTGCATTCTGGCGTAGCCGATCCGATTCGACTTCGATTCCATTCCGATGCAGCCCGATCCGACGCGCATTCCGTGTCGACCCGAATTCCCTATTCGATGCTGGTTGTTCCTGATTGTTACCCGGAAGCCACCAGGTGTTCTCAGATGTTCGTTTTGGGGACCTGCTTGGGGCCCACGTAGCGGATCTGCTCGACTCCAGCTTGCCTGTCGTTCGACTCCAGTTCGGCTCAAGCTAGGCTCAGACTCGACTCGAGTTCGGCTCAGGTTTGGCTCACGTCGACGGGCGTCCGACACCGCATCAGCGCTGGAGTGGAGCAAGTGGCCCCAGGAAGGTTCCTAGAGCGAGCATCTCACACCCAGATTACCCCCCAGTGGCACAAGGTTATTCCCAATCCGCGCGTCGGCGGCCTGGCCGAAAAAGGTGTGCGGCGGTGCGAGGGGGCGAGGCTGGCCGCAGGTCGCGCATCGCAGTGTGTGACGCGTGAAGTGAGGTGACCGAGCCTCACAGTAGCGTGGGGTGCTCGCCGAATATGCTTCGTATCGACATTGTATTCGTTGAGTCGTTACCTGGAGCTGTATCGCGGGTCACATCAAGAGTAGGCCATTGCAGTGTTTTTGCTGACGCATGATGTTTCTGTGGCCTTTCTCATGGGGCTCACTGCTGCCATGCAACTAACTTCAAGACGCCTGATCACTCTGCAGGGTTCGCTCCGGGCGAGGCAGCCCTGTCGGGCGAGGTCAAGAAGCTAGTCACCAAAGCAATGGCCAAGACGGCCGACTGCACTTCGCTTTCTTCTCGAACTTGCCCCCTCATCTCCTCGCACCGCGTTGACCGCTTCACGTTTTCGGTCATCCCTCTCTTGCTCTCTGTACCCCGCGGTCGTCCCCGGGCCCGCAGATTGAGAAGATGAAGGTTGAGCAGGAAAGCAGGCGTAAACAGGCGCAGAGGTCACCTGGCGTGCTGCGGCTCTTCAGCGCCTCCGTCGCTGGCTGCCACTTCGCACGTCCCTTCTATGCTTGTACATCTTTCCCATTCTGGGAGTCCCGTGCCATGACTACCATGAGGCATATACATTTTCACACATACGTATACACACATACATGTGCATACATACGCAGGACGACAGATTTTCCTCTTGTGGTGCAAATGGCGATGATGAATAGCTCCGTTATGCCAGCCAGCTAATGTTTTTCAGCCTCGCGGGAGAGAGCTTCTCGGTCTGGCACATTCGGGTGCGAGTCTCCTCCCCTCAAGCCCGCAGCGTTCTGACCCCGGTCGCGAGACGGTTGTGCATTTGTGGTTGCTGAGAATCCTGCTGTGATTTCGGGGTGGGTCTCGAGGCTCGCGCAGGGGTGTGCCGATCTTGGGAGGAGTAGAAGCTCTGTCAACAGCTTTGGCCGATAAATGACCGAGTGAAAAAAGGGGACCCCAGCAGAAATCCCCGGCATACTCCTCGACCTCCTCCTATGTCAATCCCGCTCGATCCCGCCCGCACACATATACACATAAATATACATATACATACAGTATACAATAAACATGCACATACATATACATAAACACATACGTATACACATACACAGACATGTACACACATACATTTACATGTACACATACATTTACATATACATGTACATTTGCATATGCCTATAAACGTATATACATATATATACATACATCTACATGTGCATATCCATGTCCAAATTCTTACACACATACATATACGTATACATGACCATATACATGTACATCCACATATCCAGATGCATATACATATACACATGCATATACATATACATCTACACATACACATACATATACGTATACACATACATTTACTTATACATACATACATACATGCACATACATCATACACATACATGTACATATTCCTATAACATACATATGGCTAGTCATATACGTATGCATCTACATATACATGCACATGTACATATACACATACAATTTCACGTACACATACAACTACATATGCATACACATATACATATACACATATACACCTATCTACGCATTTACATATTCACACACATATGCATGTACGCGTGTATGCTTATGTACGTGTGCCTGACAAACGTGCATGTGCTTGCATATGTATCTGTATATGTTTATGCATTTTGATCTGAGTATGTATAGGTTGATGAACGGCCACGCACATATGTATAGACGTGTGTATATATAGATATATACATGTACATCCGTACAGCCAATTCTGGAGCCCACGATGTGTTGCCCTAGGGCGAAAATCTGGTCTTCGTGTGCACGGGTGGGGCGGGTGAGGCGCACGGAGAGGAACATGATGAGGTGATGTACGGAGGGGCGGGAGGGCGGGCGGGCGGGGGGGGGGGCGGGGGGGGCGGCGGGCGTATCGGGATTTGAGACGACTCTTTAAATGTGATATCTTGCATCGGGACGCTGTTGAGTATTGGGTGTTGTCTTGAAGATGGGGGTTCTTAAGTGCAAGGTGTTGTCTTGGAAACGGAGGCTGTTGAGTACAGGGTGGTGCATGCTGCACGGAAGGCGGGCGGGCGGGCGGGCGGGCGGCGGGCGGGCGGGCGGGCGGGCGGTGGGCGGGCGGGAGGGCGGGTCTGGAATTGAATCGATTTCTTAACGATTCTCTCTTGCAGTGGACCTCTCGAGTACTGGGTGTTGTCTTGGAGACGGAGGCTTTTGACTACAGGGTGTTTGAGTACAGGGTGGTGAATGCTACACGAAAGACGGGCGGGCGGGCGGTGTGCGGGCGGGCGGGCAGGTCGGGATTTTAATAGACTCTTTAAGGATTCTCTCTTGCAGCGGGAGCCTCTTGAGTACTGGGTCTTGTCTTGGAGTTGGAGGCTGTTGACTACAGAGTGTTGCCTTGGAGGCGGAGGCTGTTGAATACAGGGTGGCGCATGCTACACAGAAGGCGGGCGGGCGGGCGGGCGGGCGGGTCGGTAATTGAATCGACTTCTTAAGGACTCTCTCTCTTGCCGCGGGAGCCTCTTGAGTATTGGGTGTTGTCTTGGAGACGGAGGTCTTGGATACGGAGGCTCTTGACTACAGTGTGGTGCGTGTTACACGGAAGGCGGGCGGGCGGGCGGGCGGGCGGGCGGGAGGCGGGTGGGCGGGTGGGTGGCGGGCCCGCGGATCGGGATGTGAATCGACTCCTTACGGATTCTTTTTTGCAGCGGGAGCTTGTTGAGTATTAGGTGTTGTATTGGAGACGGAAGCTGCGGAGGCTGTCCCCTCAAGGGTCTTGGAACTCGAAACGGACGGATCTTTCGGGGGACCGCGCGCAAACGCGGATAGTAAGAAATATGCGTGGGGGGATCTTGAATGGATTGTACCATATACATACGTATATGGTCGCCCCCTGTGATCATACCTTTTTCGGCTTCTCTGCTTCTTCATCGTTTTCCTTTCTCTTCTTTCTCTTCGCCCTCGCCTCCTCCTCCACCTTTTCCTTTTCCTCCGCCTCCTTCTCCTCCTCCTCCTTCCTTCTTATTGTCACGATATAAAACCCATACCAGGCAGGGTTTGGCGCCGTCAGAGCTAGGAAACACTGTTTTTTTTGTGTGTGTGTGCGTTTTGGTTTGTGAAGCTACGAAGCACTCTGCATTTTTGTTGCTGTTGTTGTTGTTGTTGTTGTTGTTGTTGTTGTTGTTGTTGTTGTTGTTGTTGTTCTATCATTCTTAAGGAATAATTATTGCTGATCCCCCCTCACCGGTGCACATGGATTTTTTCAATTGAAGTGCCCCCCCCGGGGCTCGCACTTCGTTTTTTGTCAAGGAAAGTCTTCCTGCTCAAACTGGCCCCCTGGCCCCCCGGTTACAACAACACCGGCTCCCGCCTGAGACTTCCTCACAATTTAGCCAGGACCCCCGCTCCCGCCCGAGACTTCCTCGCATTTTATTCAGGAATCGCGCTCTCGCTTGGGACTTCCTTACGATTTATTTAGGAATCGCTCCTCCTGCGCTCTGGAGTCGCGCTCTCGCTGGAGACTTGCTTGTAATTTACTGAAGAATAGCGCCCTTGCGTTGGAATTTCTTGCAATTTACTCTAGCGCCGCGCTCCCGACACCCAGGCACCCAGGAGTCGCGCTCACGCTTAGGACTTCTTCACAGATTACCTAGGAATCGGGATCTCGCTGCCCTTCGTGGCCCCGTTGCAGCCCTTCGTGGCCCCCTCGCTTTGTTTCGTGGCCCCGTTGCAGCCCTTCGTGGCCCCCTCGCTTTGTTTCGTGGCCCCGTTGCAGTCCCTCGTGGCCCCCTCGTTGCCCTTCGTGGCCCCGTTGCAGCCCTTCGTGGCCCCCTCGCTTTGTTTCGTGGCCCCGTTGCAGCCCTTCGTGGCCCCCTCGCTGCCCTTCGTGGCCTCGTTGCAGCCCTTCGTGGCCCCGTTGCAGCCCTTCGTGGCCCCCTCGCTGCCCTTCGTGGCCCCGTTGCAGCCCTTCGTGGCCCCCTCGCTTTGTTTCGTGGCCCCATATATGTATGCCCTTCGTGGCCCCCGCTCGTTCGCGCCCGTGGTGGCCCCACATGCATGCCCTTCGTGGCCCCGCTGTCGCCCTTCGTGGTCCCCTCGCTGCCCGTCGTGTCCCCGTTGCTGCCCTCAGTGGCCCCGTCCGTACCCTCCGCGGCCCAACATACGTATGCCCCCGCTCGTTCGCGCCCGTTGTGGCCCCATGTGCATGCCCTTCGTGGCCCCGCTGTCGCCGTTTGTGGCCCCCTCATTGTCCTACGTGGCCCAGGTGCTACCCTCAGTGGCCCCATCGTTGCCTTCTGTGGCCCCGCATTATCTGCCCTTCGTGGCCCACGCTCGTTCGCGCTCTTCGTGGCCCCATACGCATTCCCTTCGTGTCCCCGCTGTCGCCCTTCGTGGCCTACTTCGTGTCCTTCGTGGCTCTGCTGTCGTTCTCTCTCGCTCTCGCTTTCGCTCGTCGTCGTCGTCGCCGTCGCCGTCGTTGCCGTCGTCGTTGTTGTTGTTGTTGTTATTGTTGTTGTTGTTGTTGAACATTATTAATTCTAAAGAATAATTATTGTTGGGCCCCCTGGTGCACGCCCCCCCCCCGCGCCTAGGCCGCAGCCACATTTTCATAATTTTCGTGAGGAAGTCTCAGGTAAAACGATGTCATCCAGATCCGGTTGTTTTGTTGACGCCCGCTTTCCCTGTCAAAAAACACTATAAAATGACATGTCTTGTTCTAACATAACCAAACTTCAAGAATCCTTTGCAAAAAATGACACGAAGTGCACACTCGCGCGCGCAAGATGAAATCCTTCCAAAACCTTAGTTTTCGTAGCGATTTTAACATAAAAACATGAAAAACCCAATGGTTTTTCAAAAAAAAAGTTTCAAAAAATCATCTTGCGCGCTCTTGCGGATTTCTGAGGAAACCCAATATTTTTTCAACATTTCTGTCAAACGGGCTCTTGCGAGCAACTTTTTCACGTGCTTCGAACTTCTGCAACAACGGTTGCGCGCATGCCAGGGCCATCATCCCTGTCAAATAATACCATATTGGACACATTCGTTTTTTCTTCGCGCGCGCACGCCGTCGTCGTCGGCCGCGGGGCCCTGAATAGTAGCCACGGTCGTCCGCATGCCACGAAGTGAAGTGTCCGAACGTCATAGGGCGGGAAGCTGGGTGTGGGTGGTGGCGAAGAGTCGTTATGGAAATTTGGTAGAGCTTGAACCGGCCCCCCCACACAGTGGGGGTATTGCCCGCCTCCTATGAAAACCCTGGCACTGGTGAGAACGGAGTGTCCCCAGTCTTAAATGATTGTTGTTGTTGTTGTTGTTGTTGAATTCTCATTTCTGAAGAATAATTATTGTTGATCCCCCCCACCGGTGCATATTGTTTTTCTTAATCAAAGTGTGCCCCTCGACGCTCGCACTCTTTTATTGACAGGGAAAGTCTTGATGCTCAAACTGGGCCCAACGGCTCCCGCTTGAG